GGAGACCGGGGAATATCAGAATTATGTTCCCATTTGCAGTTCCCTAACCACAACCATCGAGCGAGGTAACAAGCTTATCCCAAGCTTCTTCTGCTCCTAGAAAATACAGTTGCCTAATCTGTTTATTGTTTATTAATTAATTATATTGATTATTTAGGAATTCCCCATTAGCAACCCAAGCCACCTCTAGTCCCAGATATAGCAGCCACAAGCCACACCACAGCTCATCCCCAGGGCCGTGGCAGGGAGCATTAGTGGAGGTGACTTCCCTTGTATGTGACCCATGGCTTTATGTCACAATTAGTTTAATACTTTCTGGACAAAATTTGCTTCTGTGCAGAGAGTACACCTAAGGTCTAAAAAGGGATAGTCCTGTGGCAGCTTAGAGACTAACAAAAATATATAGGATCATGAGCTTTCTTGGGTAAAACCCCTACGGTCTATTCAACTCTACCATCACAAGTGAGCTAGGGCCAAGTCTAAATTAAAAATTAGTTCATCCTAGCTATATCACTCAGGTTTGTGAAAAATGTCCTATCCTGTGTAGCATAGTGAAGGTCTACCTCATGTCCTGTGTAGATGTGGCTTGGTTGAAGGAAGGATTCTTCTGCTACTAATTCTCAAAGAAATGGATGAACTGCATTGATGGAAAAAACCCTTCCATCTTTGTAGAAAACATCTAAACTACAGCATTACAGTGGTACAGCTGTACTGCTGTGGCTGTGTTGCTGTAGGGGCTGTCATGTAGACATACTCTTCAGTGGTTCTTTTTCCTGGTGCTAGCCCCTTTCCACTGAATTGAGGTGGATTTCACCCTAAAATAATATTTCACCTGGCTGTTGTGTTCTTCTCCTCTTTCACAAGTGATGTCTTCAGTTTTTTTGTGATTCAAGGATAATATACTTGTAATTACTGATCCCAGTCCAATTATTTGGCATTTTTGGTAGTTTGTTTGGTACATGTGATTTTTAGATTGTAATATAAGAACACGGGCATTGTCACATTGGATGAGACCTGTGGTCCAGCTAGTCCTGTATCCTGTCTTTGATAGAGCCCAGTATCAGATGCTTTTGAGGAAAGAACAAGAAACCCACAATAGGAAGATGTAGGGTAATTTGTCCCAATATTAAATCTCATCCTGAACTCTAGTAGTTAGAAATCAACTTAAGCTTGGAAGCTCAAGGTTTAATATCCTTTTCAAAATTCATATACTCATTAACCATTATAACTCTCGATATTTTTTATTATTGATATATAGATATCCATTTTTTTAAAAACTTGCTAAATTCTTGGCCTCAAAAGGTTCCTGTGACAATGCGTTTCACAGTCTAATTATGTACTGTGTGAAAAAATATTCACCTGTCAGGTTTGAATTTGTCACTTTTTAACTGAATTTGTTTCTTGTACTTTTACCTGATGATTTTGATTACAAAATATTCATTAAAAAAGTGGATGGAGTATAAAAGCAAATTAGAAAACCTGGTTTTAGATTCAGGAGATTTTAAAGCTTTAGGCATATTAATTATAAAACTATTGTTTTGCCAATGCAGATGGCAGCTAGTGCCTTCATTGAAGTAACATTTTGTCTGAAAATAAAGTGGAAAGTGAAAATGTATTTCACTCTGAATATGCTGATTTTTGTGTTTCAGACTTTTTGGGCCGAACTGAAATCCGTGTGGCAGACATTAAAAAGGATCAGGGCTCAAAGGGACCAGTTACAAAGTGTCTTCTCCTGCATGAAGTCCCGACAGGAGAGATAGTAGTCCGACTAGATCTGCAATTGTTTGATGAGCCTTAGAGGGAAATACACCAATGTTTCACTTTAATCTGAGTTCACTGCAATAGGTGTCTGCAGAAGCTGTCTAGAAATCTTTATTCATGTTATATGAAACTACTGCTTGTCCTTCATGTGCAAGAGGGTTATCAAAGCAATCAGAAAAATCTCTGTGCATTGATAATCCTTGCTGAAAATTGAATCCTAGATTTGGGAACAGATCTCTGTCTCTGTGTGGAACGTCATTATACCTTTCAGGGTTTCCGAAGTAACATAGTTGTAACTTGTGCTTCAAGTTGAAAGGTGAGCAAACCATGTAGATTGATGCACTTACTCTAGATACTGTAATGTTTAATTTAAATGCAGAAGGCGCTGATTGTATGTTTGAAGGATTTGGTAAATTTCCCCATAGGAATCTTGTGCCTATAGCTCCACAAAGTGGTGTATAAACATGACATGAATGAACATTTACCAGGTAAGAAAATCTCTGATTTTCTTTAGGATTGTTATGGTGGTATTTGAAATGTTGCTGTTTTTAAATAGATTGTTAGATAGATAGATTTAAACACAGAAGGTACTTTTATTGCACTCTAAAAATAAGGTTTAATTGAAACTTAAATAGTACACAGGCCTTGTGCTAACACTCTCCACAGAGGTGAATTTCACCTTAAGAGAATACCACCATTTCCAGGGGGAGGGGTAACTGTAAAAGTTTGAACAAGAAGTGAAGGAGATAGAGGACCCTGCTGAATGTTGTACTGTACCACTTAAATACTTCTTTACTATTGCTGCTTAATTGTGTGAAAGCTGATGGATGATCAAGTCACTAGCTGTGACAAAAATCACCGCTCTAGCTCAGGAAGTGAATTTATACCCTGTAGAGTCTAGCTGGGAAAGCAATCAGTGGTGACAGGTTATGAAGTTGTACTGTGCCTAAATATATTTGACATCTTGATTTTGAAATCAGGACAGTAGCACACTGTAGCTCACAAAAGGTGTTAATTACAAACCAGGTTCATTATGAGTATGTTGGCTATATTAGATGTGACCAGAAAAAAATAAATCTTTGTGTGTAATTGTGCAGAGTAAGTAACCCCATAGTAACAGGGGTCTTGTCATCTTGGGGGTGGGGCAGAGATTAACAGGTAACTCCCCTCACATAGATAAGCCCTGATTCAGCAAACCTTCCCAATTCAACAAAGAACCTAACTTTTACATATGTGCTTAAGTCCCATTTACTTTAAGCATATGCTCAAGTGTTTTTGTGAGTTGGTACCTCAAGGACAATAGAGCCCCTAAGAGAGTATAGTCCATCATTGTTCCATTTTTGTTCATTACCTAAATATCATGCATAAACTGGTATTTTTGTAATGACTTTATTTCAGAATGAGGTGTCAGCCCCTTCGTTAGCATGTTAACGTTCTTGTGGAGCTTGTTGTTAGGTTTTGATGTTCTTTGCATGTCATTTTGGTACTAGTTCATTTTGGTACTAGTTTCCACCTTTCTTGTATAGATGGTGTTCTCTGGAGAGCACTACAAGTCATCATGATTTCCATTAGGAAATTAGGATATCTTCATAATGAATAGCTAGATACAGTATGGTAATAAGTGTAAGCTGTGCTGGGAAGTGTCTGTGTATTATAATTTCCTTTAAGACCACTGTAATGTTTCAAGAAATGGAAAAACAAAATCCTGTATGTTGGAAGGACAACGAAGTTTACATTTCATACTTTTTAAAATCTCTTTATTATTTATTTATTGATGATAGTGTAGAATTTTGTATCAGAAATGACAGACATTCTTATGTATTTTTTGAACAAAACAGAGATACACACTTTAGTTAGAAACTTTCAACTGACCAAGTTTTAGAGGAAGTTTAACTTCAAGGCATGTGTTTGTTTACCACTAACTGGCTCTGAAAACACAATTAAAAGAACTTTAAGTTTCTATTTTTCAATGTTGTTAAGAAAAATGTTTCAATTAAAATCTGTAAATAGAACTAAACCCATGGTTTCCTATTTCCATATCAGTACATTTTATTAAATATAATGTATATGAAAATACACATTGTTGTGGTAGGAAAAAAGTGATAAAAATCTATTAATGGAGTAACATTAAATGTCATTGTTCTAACCTTTTTACTGCTGTCCTAATTTTACTCACCAGCTGTAAATAAGTTCAGTGTTCCAATTAATGGTTTACAAAATAGTTACACTTGCATGGTCATTTTTTAAGGTCTCTTGTCACCAGACATGAATTCTAGTGAAAAATTGAACCATCTTGGGCACAAAGAAAAATCTAAGCTATTATTTTTATATTACCCTGTGGGAGGTGCCCAAATTCTGTTGAAATTCAGTTGGAATTGGACACCTACAAGCTTTTAGGAAAATGCCAGCATTAATCTTAACATGACTAATCACACTTTATTTTGTAACTGTAACAGATCTGAGGGCTTGTCTGGCTAACATCACTTGTCTCAAATGATAGCCTAATCTTGAGGCACAGAGATGTATGTGTCTAATCCCTATTAATTCAAATTGGAAATCTACAAAGATAATAATGAGGTGAGCATGGAGGTTCCCCAAAGCTTCCCTCCTCCTGTCACAGGAAATTAATTACATTGGCTACAAGAACCTAATACCATGGTGTCCAACACGCTAGCCATTAGCCACATGTGGCTGTTTGGCTGGTTCAGTGTGTCTAGTTGGCTTGAACAACTTTAGCACCGTGGTATCCAACACACTAGCTGCAAGCCAAGTGTGGCTACTTGGCTAGTTGCTTCAGAACTGGTTGGACACCACCGACCTAATCCCAAAGGGGATAATTCCTGTGCATCAAGGCTACAAAGTGCCCATCACTGGGCACTGAGACACCACTTTTCTTTTTCTCTCCCTGTCATGCTCTGGGGTGTAATTCAGACTAGTGAGAGATTGTATTACTGCTTGTATTATAACCTTGAGTACCCCAAAATGTTTCTGCTATTTTTCATTTGCAGCCTGGGACACATGCACACAGCCAGCATACACTTTGTCTCTGTAAGATGGACAGCCGTGATTCATCCACTTTGGATCCAACAGCCCACCCACAGCTATCATAGCCACGCTTTTATCTTTGCCAGACTTGCTTAAGGTTAGCAGGTGATCACAGCACACCGCCAGTCCCAAACTTCCCCAAAGACCCATGCTCTGAAATGTTCACTCCTCTCCTGCAATATTCAGAGGCTTTATAGACTCCGCTTTTTTCCTTTAAAGAGACAATCCCAACCAATTCGCTACATTAATTGGCATTTACATTCACTTTAATTCAAATACAGCATTGCTGGTTTGGATTAATGGTTGACCAAGTTGATGAACAAAAGAAGGGTCAGATTCCAGGATGGAGTCCTGTGAATATTGCAGGAGAGGAGGGTGTTTTTGAACTATGTGGTTTTGGTTTTGGAAAAACTTCAGGATGAGTGAAATTCCAGCCTGTACTTGGCAGAGACTTGAAAGAAGTTGGGACTTTCATTCTCATTCACTATACCCCAATTCACAGAGGGTAAAATATACCACTGAGCAGACAGTCTGCACCATTGAAGATCCTCTGTAGCCCAATAGAGCTATGGTGGAACTGATGTAATGTATAGGCCTTGTCCTGCTCCTTGGCATAGAGGCATAGTTCACTGTTAGCTGATTCTATTTTATTGGTGAAATACATTTGCTTAGAAATAATATGTGGTGGTAGCTTCTTGGTAGGTGGTGTAATGCTTTTCTAGAAATCTTTTCTAAAAATAATACGGTGACATTTCAACATATTCACTGCCTTCCCTGAAAAAATACTCTTGCTTTGTGGATAGCAATAAAACATATTGAGAGGGCCCACAAGAGGCAAAACTGTATGTCTATAGTTTGGCTTTATGTTTGTGGAAGAAAACAAGCCTTCACTCTGCGTTGTGTTTAAGCAACAAGTAGCCAGAGGCAGTTTTATTACGAGCTGCAGCAAGGGAAAAACTGGTTCGGACAGGGGGGAGCCCCCCCCTCCGAGGCAGATCCTCGAATCCAAGCAATTATGAAGCAGTTTATATACTGTCTATAAATATAACAACAATTAGTCTCCTTCCCATTACAAACACCAATGGCTAACAGTTATTTAGTTCCACCCAGATGCTCCTTATCTCAAGGTCCCTGCCAGAGTCAGCATTCTATCCTTATCTCCGTATGGAGGCGAGAGGCAAAGGCAGCGTCTAATTACAGATCTCGCGTTGTCAGGCCACAGACTTAGCCTGACTCTTGCTCTCTTGTTAACAAGACCAAGATGGCTGCACACAAATTCCCTTATTCCCTTTTCCTGCCTCCACAATCCCCCCTTTTGTGCTTACAGCACAACTACCTTTCTAAACCTTTATTTTCATTAAACGTTACATAATTAGTACAAACATAAAAGCTATTTCTATTACTATATCTTTTACAACAACAATCAAATATGAAACCTTTAATAAGCAAAAGCAATATAATCATTAATATCCCCAATATAATTCTATGATGGGGCTGTTCTATAATTTTAGTAACATAACACAACATATCATAATTAGTAACCAAATTAGGGAGGGCAGGTACATGCTGATGGTACCTGTCCATAAGCACAGAGTCCAGATCAAAGGGAGAAACCCAAACCACTTCCACAAATTTCTCCTTGACAATATACAATACTTCGCTTCTTTCACCAAGGTCAGTTCTTAATGTCCTTTTGTAGTCAGAAATCTTTGGGCTTTGGCGGTGTCAGAGGAGCAGACTTTTCCTCTTTTTTTCCTTGAAACAGTCGTGGTTCAGCATCATGCAGGGGAGAGGTTACCAGCACATCACCCTGTAATATTTTGGTTCTTCTGGTGTCCAGCAGGTAGGAAAGCAGGACCAGAAGAGAGAGGCTGATCAGCAATCAGGGTAGGATCATTTTGAGATGGAGGGATCTTTTTGCAGTGAGAAGCATTGGCCAACAGTCAGTTCTTGGCACATCACAGCGGTATTGGTGGTTAGAAAAACTTGGTAAAGGTCTTTCGCTGATGGACATAAGAGTCTCTATTCTCTGAGCTAAAAGCCAGCTAGCTCCTTTGGAACCAAGGTTATTTCCTAGGAATAAAGCAAACCGTAAAAACAATCCCGCGTGGTTCTTTGGTTGTTTGGTACCGGCCTTATCAAAGTGAGGCCCTTTGGAATGTGGTGGCCAGTACTTCTCAGGCTGACCTAATGATTGGAATTTGTCAGTTCTCAGCAAGATACCATGGACTGCCTCAGTTTACTCTTATAGTTCCTTTCTCTTGACTTTGGGGCTCTCCTTAACCCACTAAGTTAAATACAACAATTTAAGGGGTTTTAATTTACTCTGGAAGTACAAGTACAGCACTAGCACTGTTATAAATGTTATAATCAAAACTTCTCACATAATTTGACAAACACTATTCAACTTTATCTTTAAGATATTTCATCGCTTTACTGGCGCTGCTCATGATTATAGGTTTGACCTCTACTGCCTGGTTGAGTGCTGCAGAGGTAGGTGTTTGGCATGGTCCATGGTGTTTCCCTATCTGTGTGTACCTCAGACAGCCAGCCCCGATATATCTTCGGGCATTGGCCACCAACTCCTCGATCTTTGCCTGCAGGGCCAGTAAACCCTCCTCTAGGTACTTACTTCCGCCGTACCACTCAGGATCTCATGTTGCGTTATCCATCACTGCCGAAGTGTGATAGAGCCGCATTCCATCAACGGTCAGGATCATTCTACGAGGGGCTGTTATGCACACAGACGGATATGTAGAGGGGCAGGATGGAGTGATCTGTCTGGGTAGTCAAACACCAGTAGGTACCGTTTATTTGGACCAGCTTGATGTTTTTGTTTCTCTGAGACAACCACATCAAACCTAGGCAGATTCGTTGTGATGTTAAATGGGCAGGTACATAAAATTTCCTTATCAAAGTGGGTGCAACAATCCCTGGGTATAGGGAGGCTCCCACACCTTCAGAATAAGCAATGCCTTCTATTCTATCTATATGCCCTTGCTTTGGTACAAACAGGGAGGTTACCATTCTGATCTGATCTGAGTGAGGAATCCTCAGAGGGACCAAAAACAAATGGTTATACTATGCCCTGTCCAGGTGGGCCTTTGGGTCCTCATGGATTCTCTACTTCCCCACTCCCATAGGTAGGCATGGGGGAGATGGGGACTCACCACCATAAGGGCTGGGTGGTCAAAGCTATCCTATTCTTCAATACTGGCCTTCTAATTCCTTTAATTTAGTTCCATTAATTAACAATCCAATTAGTCTCTGGTCCAAATATCTACAATTTTAGAAATGTGCATCTGTCTGTCCGTCTGTGAATCTGTTCAAGAACTTGTACACGGTAAGAGTTAGGACCACCAAAATTGGTTTGCAGCTTCCTATTATCATAATTTAAGGCAACATCAGGGTTTGGTTATGCCAGGATAATGGGACGTGTGTGGAATTCTATTGTTTCTCATAAAATGGAGAAGGAGGAGCCTGATGGGAGGGACAGTTTATATTGCAGAATGACCACAAGGGGACAGCAAGGGGGCAGAGATGGAGACTGGGGCAGCTATAACCTCATAGGGCAAGTAAGGGGCACAAATGGAGAAAGGGGACAGCTATTTAGTAAATATTTCAGAGAGTTTGTCTAGTAGTGTGTCTGTTCCCCAGCTGGGGGACATGCACCCCTCCTCCAGCTGTGCCTGCTGGAGCTACAATGGCTATAGACAAGTGCTTTTCACCTGGCCGCAAGCTGCTGCAGTGAGAGAGGGCTGGGGTTGTCCTTTCTCCCCAGGGCAGCCTGCTAACTAAACCTTAATCCCCAGCCCCACCCCAGGACAATGATTTAAATGAAGAAAAACAAAGCTTATTTGAGTTAACAACTCCAGGTAAATCTTTTAGTCTAGTCATAAAGGGGAGTCTCCTTCACTACTGTCTGCTGTTCACTTATACTAAGTGCATTCAATTTAACAAGGAGAGTTGATGTCTCCTGGCACTTCTTCAGTCTGAAGCCTGGTAATTGTCAGTAAAAGGAAGTAACCAGACAACAGCCTTGAAAAAGATTAAAATGGTGACGTGAGCAAAGGCAGAATGTCCTAACCAGTGTAATGTCAAAGAGCTCACAATACAAGAGCAAATCCTCCAAAGTGGACTCTTCTGTCACTTGAGTCTAAAAACTCAGACCCAGGACACCATAACAGATCTTCACCATTATCGACAGTGGCATGTATGCCCGGAATAATAAATAATAATAAACCACTGGTAAAGCTTGCTCCTGTAAGTTGTTCCCAGTGGGCAGACTCCTGTATCCCTTAAGCCTCACTGAATTCAGTGGGTTTCTTGAAGGATCAGGGTTTCAAAGCCACCTTTCTAGGAACTCTGCAGCCTGGACTTGCATGTCTCTTATGTTAAAAGGAGTCCCCAGCAGGGTTGCCAGGTGTCCGGTATTGACCCAGACAGTCCGGTATTTTCACCTCCTGTCCGCTAAAAAATTTCAGAAAATACCGGACACCTAAAATGTCCAGTATTTTCTGATATTTTCCCAGCCAGGGGGTGAAAATACCAGACTGTCTGGGTCAATACTGGACACCTGGCAACCCTCAGCAACCAGGCCTACCCCGTCCCCACCTGCCCCCTCCTTA